AAAACCCGACGCATATTACATTCTCCAGCGCTAAGTGACCCAAATTGTTGTCAAGCAATGTAATTTATGTATATATGCATATTTTCCTCTGTCCCACAGTGCTTATACTTGATCCCGACAGAAATTTCTCAATGACTGTGGGGCGTATTATGAATAATGTAATTAAATTTCCCTCCGACCCCAGCATTTGGAGTGGTCGCTTTCCGTTTAATTAAACTAATTCAATTTGCAAATAAACACCTGATTAATATCACTTATACGCCGCCACCTTGGCGCACTCGACTTTCTCTTTAATTGTTAAGTCTTGAGTCACAGACTGGGATTTGTTTAGGTGTGATATAGATTTTAAGCCGAAACCGATTCCACAGACACTTGCTGCGAATAAACTGCAATCAGTAGTAAATCAAGTGTCGCATAAACTGCAGGTGGAAACTTGACTCCGTGTGGCAAATGCCACAATGGAAATGTTGACGAGCCAAGGGAAAGGGAGCCTGAGCCAGTCGCTTGCTCTTGGCCAAATGACAAACAAGACACGGAGCACTCACAGCAAAACATATTCGGTGCAGAATATCTTAAAATTATGATTTTCTGCCATTGGCCACACACAGATGCACTCTAAAATACCCTTGCCTTGTCGCCTTTTTGTCTCCATAAGCCCCACAAAGGCGAGAGTGGGTGTAAAATCTTTACTTGCCAGTTGCTGAAAGTTAATTATAAAGAGCATTTCGTTTTGCTTTTCCACCTTAAGCTTTTACCCCCAACTGGAATTTGTTTGTCTGTTCTTAAGACTCGCTTTGATGGCATTGCTTTAATAAATTATGAAATGGCAACCGAATGGGCACAACTTGAAATCAAATTCATCGCCAATTTGTTAGTTTCTGCACATAGATTTCTTGCCAATTAGTCAGAGTTTTCAACGAATCAAATAAAAACTGCAGATTTTTAATAAAAACATTAACAATATTTTAACTTAAAAGCTCTCAAAGTGAGAAAGACATAATTTAATTTAAACTGAAAAATAAACTTAAATTAAAACCTTATTTTTACTATAAAAGGATGGTAAAATCTTCAAATTTGTATAATCAACTAATGGTCAGACTTTTTTAATTTTTGACCCTGAGGTCCTAATGAGTTGGTGGTGGCAGTTTATGAAGTGCCAACATCTGATTCTTATCCAATTAGCGGGTCTGCCAGACGACACGCTGCGTTTGTTGCACCAAGCAGACTAACTTTCCCACAAGGAAGTGATAAACAAAGGGCCGAATGTTGGCTAGTAACACAGAGAGAAATTCTCAATAGTTACCAAAATATTTACAACAAATGTCTTGGAGTTGAGTTTGAGTTTGAGGTTGATTCTACAATGTTTACCAGAACTTAAGTAAAGTTTCTCTGTGTATTTTCTACCACACGGAAATTAGCCATTGTTTTTGTTTTCAACAGAAGGAAGGGCTAAAAAACATTTGAACCGGCAAAAAACTTGAACAGTTTAAAAAGCAAAAAGCAAGTGTAAAGCTCAGTTGGAAAATTTGTAAGCCATTTAAAGTCAAATTTCTTGACTTTCAGGCGGTTAAAGCTGTTTTGGTTGTCGTGTAGAATAATTTTAAATATTTTATTCTTAACTAAAAGATAAAGATCACCATCATTTACTTTCTTGCTAAAGATTTCAATTCATTGGCCATCCTGGGGCCACAGGTGTAAGCTTTTATCCTTATTTTTTGAGACACTTCCGCAATCATAGCTGACACTCGAAAGTGTTTGCAGCAGGTCAATAACAATTTTGCTCCTATTGCCTTGGCTTCCTGCCGGATAAGTGCACATAATTCGAACGGACGGATGTGGGGTGTACAGTTTTTAATTACAGGTTCAGTTGGCCATAACCATGGGCGATGCCTTTCCACTTAAATCGAGCGGGGTAAGAAGGATAAGGTAAGTGCGTATTTCTCTCCAGGATGCTTGTTTGCAACCCCAGCAACATGGAGTGAAATGAAACCGGGCAACGGGAAAGAGAGAAGCAAAGTATCCGGAGTCATGCTCGGCCTTTTGTATTTGTCCTGTGCCAGTTCCACAGTCTGCTGCATTCATTAGACCTGGCCAAGTGCCGCTCCCAGCTCCGTTGCTGCCGGAGAGTTAAGTTCCCTGCTCTGGATACCGCGCTAATGGTGTAACATGACTTAGGGCCATCATGCCATTATAATTATGGTTATTATGATTACTCTCGGCCTTCAGGTATTTTATGCCGGAGAACGTTCTTAAACGCCTTCATATTATCGCTTAGCCTGGATTAGACCAAAACAAACACTAGACTGCAATGGCTTGCATTAATTTAATGAAAGAGTACTTTTGGCCAAGAGATACCCTAAGGTAAGACTTATTATTATTAATATTGTCATGCACTTGAATAAATTACGTTTTCGAAAGCCTTTTTTGGCCATCAAAGCTATCAAAGTCACACATTATTTAGTAAACAACTTCAGGGTGACTTCATTTAATCGGGATTTCTATTAAATATTGATTTCTATCAAGAATTATAAGCCATAATTTAATAATTTAAGCCCACCGCGACTTTTCATCTAATTAACATATCTTAGCAGTCGAACACCTGAGTTGATTTGTCAAGTTGGCCAGTTACATGTGTTTCTTAATCATATGGCAGCTCAGTCAGCTACTGAGCCGGAAGTGCATGACCCGTGTTGGCAACATGCCATGCCAAACGTCACAGTTACTACAAAAGTGAAATAAAATTGGCCGTAGTTGAAGAAATGTTGAAAACAACTTTTACAATAAACGGAAAAGTTCGCTCCACATCCTTTAATTCCGAATGGCGACATGAATTCTTTGTATGTTAAAGTTTGGTTCAAATGGTTGTAAGGTAAGCTCGTATGCTTCTTTAAAGGGAAAGTGTGATCATAGTTTCCATTAAAAATTGCTAGTGTGACCATTATTATAGGTCTACTTTTAACGGCCATGTAGCGTGTTCGATCGCCATTGTGGCGATTGCATATTTAAGACGCTTGTTGCGACATTTCCGCTTGATTTGATTATCGCCCAGTGGGGTATTCAAGTAATTTGATGCGAGAGAGGAAATGCCTGAAGTTAAACCTGCCCAGACCCGGCAAAATAATTACTCAATTCCCTTTTTTTTCCCCGCTTGAGTTGCATGTGTAACATGCTTTGCTGTTGAAATAATTTTGCCTAGAAATTGCATGTTAATTAAAGGAATTTCGTTGCATGTTGAGGTGCCTAGAGTTTAATTTTTTAAAGACTTTATGTTGTTTTATGTTTAATATTTCGTATTTTTCGTTTGGTTGGCATGCGCACAATGCAGCTAAGTTAGTTTTCCAAGGGCCTATGGCCAGTTAGCTACAGTGGTTTGCTCATCCCTTGCTAATCACATGCAGCCAGGATCATCAGTTACAGCACGTTTATTGGGCTATATGCCGCCGGACTTCACTACGAGGTAACTACGTTCGCTAGTCAGTGGCTAAGGGCTTATGTCTAGGAGTAAAATGGCTCTTCACTTACCGCGCCAGTTGGTTGGGACTTTGGGTTGTTGATTGTAGCTTTCGATTTTAAGTTAGACTTACGAGAGAGAAAAGGTCGCTAACTAACAACTGATTAATGATAGTTTAGGATGGGACTAACTTTAGGTTGCTGGGTTGCCCCAGTTCGGGTTGAGTGTTGATTGAAGAGCAGCTCCTCCGGGGTGGAATGTTGATTGAAGATCTTCTCTGGGGTTGCTCCATATCGTTACACGGCCTCGAATTCTCACAGTTTGCTTGATTTTTTCACTCACTTGAAAAGTGTTTGCCTTACAATTGCTTACGTCTACGCTTATGGTTATCCTACGGGGCAAAAGTTAATGGTCTGGCCAATTGAGCTTCAATAGGGGTTTGGTTTTCCTTTACAGTTTGTACTCTTGGTATAAAATTTTTGCATTTTACATGGGTGCATATCCTATCGCCGTGGTGCTCGGTTTATGCCTAGGACTTAGGACTACTAATAGTGGTTAGGCATAAACTTACTTCTAGTATGCTGACTTTAATTATTGTTTATTGTATTGCTTTGGAAAAATGTAGTGTAGACTTGGAGAAATTCATTATTTTCAGTTTACGTATACTTTGAGTGGTTATTTATGGCTCTACTAAGAGTTTAAAGTATCTACTCGCTGATTAGATGTATCTTATTAGTGGGTAACTGGTGGACCCATCCGTTTAGCTGTGTTCTTTTGCAATTTTCTCGAACTCCTCAGTATACAACTCCTATTCCTGCCTTGGCTATATAATACTGCTTGAGTTTATGAATATGTTAGTGAGTATATTGTATAATCTTTAGAAGAACCTCTACTAGTTATTGTTATTGGATTGCTTGAATTACGTATACGTTGGTTTCTTAAGTCTAGAACGGTACAAGTGCTGTCTGAAATGCTCTGCCTTAAATCTAAGATATTCTTAAATATTTTCGCTATTTGATTATTTTGTTAGATATTCTTTGAATTGGTGTTTGATCTTGCAGTTAGGTAATATTTTGTAAAGTTATTAAACATTAATCTACTCGTTTACATTTCAATAGCTTAGCAAACACTTTTCATTGTTTAAACTCGATAGTAGTAAGTTGTTCTCTCTCTATTTTTCTATTTTATTTAATTAATTTAGTTTCATGGATTTCTAAACGAAAGCTGATATTCATTTGATATTTTGCTTTGCTCTAATGTTACTTGGGCGTGATTAGTTAAGGGCATTTTAATAAAACTAACTTATGAAAAACGAAAAATCTTTTGATTTTGTATTCCTTCTTTTAAACTCATTATTGGAATGTTGATTGAAGACTTAGCAGAGAAGTGTTGATCTATGTTGCTGATGATATGCAATTGGTTGGAATTTGATTTCTTTTTTGATTTCGCTTCAATTCTTTGCTCGTCTTGGGTGTTGTGATGTATGCTTCGAAAGTCTCCCCCACCTTCTGCTCCCTTCACCTTAGCTTTTAGTTAAGGGGAGCCTTACCTCGGCGATGCGGGCGGAAGCGGCGGGGGCGGCAATGGCGGCGGTGGAGCCCGCACATCCGTCTCGATATTCCGCTTATGCGGCGTCTGCAAATCCAGCGCTGCATAATGCGAGTGGGCGTGTCCGTGGCCGTGGGCGTGCCCATGCATATGTCCATGGCCGTGGGCGTGACCGACGCCCAATGGTGACTCTCGCGGCCTCAAAGTGGTGGGCGGGCCACGAAATAGGGCGTAGGGATTGCCAAAATAATCCTGTGACGTCGCCATCATTTTTCCGTCGGCTGAAAAATATTGGAAAGGAAAACAATTAGCTCGCAATTGACAAATTATGACAAGGCACTGCACAGCTGGTGAAATTAAAAGCAAACATTGAGCGATTGCTGGCATGTCAATAAACCATTTTTATGGCCAACGATTGCCACTGACTAAACGATGGCTTGTGCAGCAGTGCACTGAAAAATATTATATGTGGGACTATATAACTAAGAACTGAAAAGGGCAAAAGTAGTTTCTATATATTTTTCACAATTATACCATTTACCTTACAAGTCATAAAAAATACATGTGTTGTTCCCCGTGTAGCATGTTCCCTTTCCTCTACAAAAATCCTTTCATCCTCCGTGTCCGTATCCGTATCCATTCATGTTTTTTAATTTAATAGTCGTGTCATGTAAATGGGCCCGGCACGCGACTGCATTTAATTCCAAACGTGAAATGAAATTATTTTAACATGTTCGCTGTGATTGATACTCATTCCCGGCTGCTGTCCATTGTCCGTTGTGAAGGCTCTATGGCCTTTTACCCATTACCATTTTGCAAAGCCTGTTGCAGATGCAGTACACATGTCGGACACACCATAATTGACAGCAAAGGACATGCCACGGGCGGACTACACATGTAATTAAGTGCCGGATTGTCGCTTAAAGTGCCAGCCAATTGCCACGAGCGCACAACGAGGCGACAAAATCGTGGGCTCCCACAGTGTGAGGAAGACGATAAATAAACAATTCAGACTGTTGGTTTGAGATAAAAGAACTTCGGTGTCTCCTGATTGAGCTATATAACTAACTATAGCCGTAAGTATGAATCACCAAACAGTCTCTAAAGTATTTAAGCTCTTTGAATTATATTTAATATCCAATAATCTCTTGTATTACATGTACATATCAATTAAAATTGTTTTTGCTTTGCTAATTACATTGTGCTAATAGGGCTCAGATTGAATATGAATTCCTGAAAGCCATGCAATCTGATACAACATTCTCGGTGTGCTTGTGTAAACATAAACGGCTCATTATTTCCCAACCATCAAATCGACCAACACTTGAAGTCACTTGCAATTAAATGCTTACACTGCTGTCCGAACCGAAAGCCCTTCACCCAGCACTAATTCCCGCCCCTATCCCAACCGACTTTACACACTTGACGGGTTTACGCAGCTTCCAACCAATTGGCATTAAGTGGTGCACACATATAAACCGCATTTCGACAGGATTCCGTCAGGATTTCTCCACTGCAATTATTCCAACCGAAACGAAAAATTTTTACAACACAGTAAACGCTTAGCCGGATGATGACCATAACTGCAATGCAAAATTTTTCGTTTTTTAATGAAGGAAAAGTTCCTTGAATTTTGCACGACCTTTTTGCATAATTTAACGCGACACCGACAGCTTAAGTGCTGACTGATTTTCTACCTGGCTGAATGGCGAGACGTGCAATTGGGAGTTGGAATATAAAAATGGATCCGATGATGGTTGCTTTTAACTTTTGCATAATTATGTGTAAGAAAAAACCTGGAAGCACATTCCACGAGCTGGTAGCCAAAGTTCGGAGAGGTAGCTAAAAACTTTACATCGGCATACGGATATCGAAGATCTACGTGGATGCCTGCGGCACGCACAGGGCGAATTGTTTTAACTTACTTGGCTCAACTTTTTTTTTATGGCAACGCACCGCGACACTAATGGCACACCCCCAGAGTGTTGTTGGCCAAAATGGGTTGTGGGGCTTTGAATAAAGGAGGCAGAAACTCACATTCCACCTACAATGGCAGGTGAAGTAATAGACATTATTATGCTTATAAAATTAAAAAGAACAAGGAAAGTTTTTACTTGAAATAAGAATGTAGCTTTATTTGGCTAGCTGTAAAAAATTTAAAAAAAAATTATCTTTTAAAAATATAGAATAATAAACTGTTTACAGAACTATTATTGCGCCTGCGGTTGTACATACGCACACTAGCTCTTGTGGCCGGAAGAAAAGTGGAGCAATAGCGCCAAGTACACGCAGTCTGCTGCACTGCATCGAGGATGCTATATGGACTGAGCTCTATATAGGCCAGACGTTGTGGGCCGGCCAGAGCACCTAGGCGCAATCGTGTCACCTACTGAACTAAGCTTCGAGCGTTGAGAAGCAAACGCCAAAAACACTAAACACCAAGGCGCTGAACACCAGTGATGATAAAATATTTATCATCACTGCCAATATAGCCAACTAGATCTAAGCAAAAAGGATATATTTAATTTAGGGTTTTAATAATAAACATACATATAAATGAAATGTAAAGAAAATAAATTTAAATTGAAACCAAAAAACTAAGGTTTGATTTTAATAAAACTTTGGCTAAAATAATAGCTGGAAATGTCATTTCTATTGACTGGAAACCCCAGTAGAGTGCCTGGTATATCAGGAAAAGTAATCTCTGCTCTGTAACGCTTTTACAGCGCTGCGCTCAGGAGCTGTTAATGAGTCAAGATATACGTATACATTTAGTGTGTTTGTGTGCGTGCTATATGCATTTTGGTTTGGGGTGGGTGTGGGTGTGAGTGCGCATGGGATGTCCTAAGTGCGTTGGCGTCAAGTTGAAAGCCGCTAGACGGCAACAATGGCGGCGAACAACCATGCCGCCGGTTTTTGTTGCCTACTTTTGTGTGCCGCCGAGACCGTCATGACGGTCTTAAGCCCAGTAATACACACTTATTTGCATATATGCACACATCTATTTTAATGACTAGTGATGAGGCCCTTGGAAAGTAAGTGAAATTCATGGCCAAGGGACTCTCTTTAAAAGACAAGCCAGTAAAATAAGCAAAGTATCTATAAATTCAAAAAATACCTATCTCAATAAGATTTCCTTTACGTAAAAGTTGTCTAAAATCGGGACTGGATAAATAAAGTGATTATTAAATTGCCAAGTCGGACTAATTAATCTCCATCGGAAGGCTACCTATCGTAATCAGTGAATTGATATGAAAGTGTTCACGCACTCATCGCAAATTTGCAGTTGAGACGCACTCGTTGCTGCTTTTGTTGTGGCATCGATGGCAGCGTTTACCCCATCAGTTTCTGCATAATGCATGATAAATATGAGCGGTGATAGGGTGGATCGGGGTGGAAATGTAATAACTCTGTAACTTGGGGGAGCCAAGGGCCCTGGATCTTGTGTGAAGAGTTTGCCTTCAGTGCTCATTACGTATCGGTGTGAGTTGCAATTAATTGAACCACTTTCGGGATCCTACAGCAATTCATTCAGCATACGACTCGAAAAAAGTTTGCTATCGTTTAAGAATATCCGTTTTTTATGTTTCATTATAATTCTCTCTTTTCCGTTTTTTTTGTTGGTTACAAAACTTCTTTGTTTCTTGCTATCAGCGAGCTCTGTGCAACTTAGCTTGACTTTTCCGGGGTCTCCATTGCAGTAAGTTTTCCAACGACCCCACTCCTCAGGGTGCATTCACTGACCCAACGGAAAAGAAGGAGGGTCTCTCAGATAATTCTTTTTCCGCCTTATTGCTTTATGGCACTGGTGACGCTTTAAGAAGCAAATAAATTCAATTTGCGGACAAGGCAAATCTGTTTAGTGGTGCTTTAGCATTGAGAAAAAATCTGTTACAGTTTGTTACTTTGTTTTCTTAAAAAAATATTTTTGCATTTTTTATTAAAAAAAGTTGTTGCATTCCTTAAATTATAATTGTTTTTTTAAAATACTCTTTTGTGAACAATAAAATATACAAACTTCCTTATTTTAGAGTGATTGAATGCTTATAATTAATAACCGATTTAGACAAACCAACAATTTTATAAGTGTCCTTATGTTATTTCAAAGCTTTATTTCCAGCTGTGGACTTGTTTAGTCAAATGCTTCATTTGTTAGCCGATTTGGGCCGCAGACCCCTTCCCGTTCCACTCGAAATGGACTCTTTCTTTGTGCTTGCGGCCTGAATAGTCTGCTTGCCAAATGGCTTTGAATGTTTGCCCTCTCGACTATTTGATTAGCCGCACTGGAAATGTGATTTTGTTTTTGTTATTACATAATACACAAAGAGAGTGCGAAGCAGTGCTGATGGCCGGGACACTTTGGGGAAGTAACCCCTCCATTATCCCCGCCCCGCCCCAGAGTAGCATTTTTGGACTGCAGTCATGTGCCTGGCAGCTGATGGCGCTGCTCCGGTTTGTTTGCATGCAATTCCGTAAAGTCCTGTGCGTGCATTCAGGTTATTCCGCCAGCTCAGGCGTTTGACATGAAAAATGCATTTTATTGGGATTATTTTTATAACGTGTCCGACCTCAGGGCTCCGCCGCAATTAAATCAGCCAGCATCACGTCATTAAAGCACACGAACGAGCACGTGTGTTAAAAATGCAAATTCAATTAATTTTACATTTATGCTTAGCACGGGCCACACGCCCAGCACTTACGATTTCATCAAATTTTCAGTCAATTTTCGCACTTTTTAATTCAATTTCTCTGAATTTCGCGGATGAAAATATTAAGCGAAAAAACTCCAGTCCTTTGTGTCCAATGGTTGCTGTTAATGGCCAATTAAGAGCTGGCTTTGCACGACCATGTGGCTGTGTGTGATGGCGGACAAGTGGCTCTAAACTCACATAGTGTCCGTGGGTGAAATTTTTGACACATGTCCATGACGGTATCCATTTCGCGGTAGCCAACAAAGAGCCGCACGTGCCCGTCTCCCAAACTTTGCGATTTCATCAACAAATTTGTTTTACGAACCTCTACTCCTTTCATACCCCTGTTCCAAAATTAGTTTATAAATTTAATTGTCTTTGTAATGAAATATGCTATCACACTTGCTATTTAGTAAAGTTTTGAATGTGTTAACAGAATTAGTCGATAAAGCAATGAGATTATTAAAAATGTATACATTTTGAGGAACTTTAACACTTTAGAAAAACTCTTTAAAATTCATTTATTGTCTCTTAACATTTACAATTAATAAAGTAGCGTGGTAAGAATTCTAATCGAAA